GGAGGGGGGGGGTGCCGTGTGTGTATGTGTGTGTGTGCAAGTAAACACAGACAAATAAAACAAAATATACATATGTGACACGTAAATGCTTACTTTAGTGTGTATATATGCATGTGAGAAAGTATTTATGAATATTTATCCTCCTTGATATAGATTCAAATCTAGATTAAGATCTAGATAGAAGAACTAAACAACTTAGCCATAATGACCTACTATTAAACGTGTGTGTGTGTATGTGTTTCGGACTGTCTAAGCTTGAAAATATCCATACATATATAAATGTGTGCGTGTGTGTGTGTGAAGTGTATAAAGATATATATATATACATTCAAGAACACACAGGCACATAGACTTACACACGCACACACATATTCACTCACACCCACAACATATATACAAACACACACACACACACACACACACACACACACACACACACACACACACACACAACACACACACACACACACACCACACACCACACACACACACACACACCACACACACACACCCCACAACATACATACAAACACACACACACGCACACACACACACACACACACACACACACACACACACACACACACACACACACACACACACACACACATATATATATATATATATATATACATATATATATATATATATATATATATATATATATATATATATATATTCAAGCTTCCTGGCCACTTAATTTTGTCTCGTTTCGCCTCCTTTCAAATCCTACAACACAACCTTCCCTCTTATTCCTCCTATCCCCCTCCATTCATTCCCATAACGTGAATAGCGGAGCATCCTCATTTCACGTGCATTTCTATCATCTCCTCCCCCCCCCCTCTCCTCCCTCGTAATAGCATTATCTTCATCCGGTAATTTACAGGTAAGGCCATTGTTCTGCGATTGTTTTTACCTTTCACCTGTATCTGGCACTCTCCTGTCACGTGTCATTCCAGGTGAATTTCTCGATCTCTTTCGTATGTTGTGTTTTTCGTTTGTTGTTTTTTTGGTTTTCTTAGTGTATAGTTCATTTCATCTTTCCCGGTGTGTTGTTGACCGAAACTATTTGAACTATTCTTTTCGATGCATTCTTAGTACAGTCTAATCTCAGCAGGAATAGGCGAAGTGGCAACTCATTCTGATTCGTCTTCTCTCTTCTCATTCTAATCAGCTGACACAATGTCAGTGTACTTACAAGTTTGGAATTATAGGGAATATCTATTTTTTATTGCTTAACACTTTATTTCTCTCTCTCTCTCTCTCCTCTCTCTCTCTCTCTCTCTCTCTCTCTCTCTCTCTCTCTCTCTCTCTCCCTCTCTCTCTCTCTCTCTCTCTCTCTCTCAAAAGAGACTCGGCGAATCGGAGTAATCCAGAGCTCAGAGTGAGTTGCCAGTTCCTCCTTTTCCAAGACTGGACGGAGTAAATGTTCACTTTTCGAGTCATTACCCCAGTCATTCTAGTATTCTGCCTCTCTCTCTCTTTCTCCATTTATCTAAACTTCTCTTTCTTTATCTATCCAAACGACTTCATATTCATATAACATACGCCTTTCCTAATTCAACAAGACCACATGACCCACGCAGAACATCGCCGTTTTTGTCTGTATGCCATCACAAATAGCAGGGATTACACTCGATCCTTGGGGAACGCCTCCGTCCATCATAAATGCGGCGCGTCTCGCTGTTGCTTAAGATCTGTGTGTGTGAGAGAGAGAGAGAGAGAGAAGAGAGAGTAAATGAATATGTATATATGGATATATACATACATATATACATATATAATATATATATATATATATATATATATTATAGTAGAGAGAGAGAGAGAGAGAGAGAGAAGAGAGAAGAGAGATACAAATATATGTAATATATATTTATGTGTATATATATATATATATATATATACATATATATATATATATAGTATATATATATATAGTATATATATACATAATAGAGAGAGAGAGCAAACAAAAAGATATCAATATACATATTTATATATAGAATGTAGGTATATATAATACATATATATAAATATATATATACATATATACATATATATATACATATGTACCATATATACATATATATATAATATATATATATAACATATAGATGATAGATAGATAAGAGAGAGAAGAGAGCTAGCGAGAAACTGACTGATATTTTAATGTGTGTAATCTTTATATATAAATACATAAATATATGTTACATATACATACATATGTATGTATATATGTAATGTATACATATGTATATAAGTATATATAAATGTATATGTGTGTGTTGTGTGTGTGTGTGTGTTGTGTGTGTGTGTGTGTGTGTGTGTGTGTGTGTGTGTGTGTGTGTTGTGTGTGTTGTGTGAACACACATACATATACATGCATATATATATATTATATATATATATATATTAGAGAGAGAGAGAGAGAGAGAAGAGAGAAGAGAGAGAGAGAGAGAGAGAGAGAGAGAGAGAACCGAACGATGTGTGAAGTTGACCTTTCACTTCAAAGCAAAGCTACAAAACTACGACATTTTTCCGGTAAAGTGAAAGCTGCCCTTTCCTTTCCCTCTCCGCGTGGGCCCGACACATGACACCAAACCTTGTGACCAGATGAAACCTTCTGATATTTCTCATCAGTATAAAACTCATGTATGAAATACGATAGATATATATACGTGTATACATATCCTTGAACTTCAGTACATACATGCAAGCACAAATATCCTTGTACACACTTTCATGTCTAGAATCGTATACACATACAGATAGTAATTCAAACATGCAACACACAAGCAACGCAGAGACACATTTATATCGCAAGCATACAAAATAGGCATACAAGCACACGCACGAGGTTAGCGTGGATGAGGGTAGGAAGGGAGGGAAGGGAGGGAGAGGGAAGGAGAAAAGGGAAGAAGAGGGAGGAAAGAGGAAAAGAGTAGGAGGAAGGGGGGACGGAGAGAGAGAGAGAGAGAGAGAGAAGAGAGAGAGAGAGAGAGAGAAGAGAGAGAGAGAGAGAAGAGAGAGAGAGAAGAGAGAGAGAGGGGGGGGGAAGGAGGAGGGAGGATTGAAGAGGAAAGAGAGGAAAGAGATGTAGAAGGAAAGAGGGAAGAGGAGAGAGAGAGAGAGAGAGAGAGAGAGAGAGAGAGAGAGAGAGAGAGCGAAGAGAGAGAGAGAGAGAGAGAGAGAGAGAGAGAGAGAGAGAGAGAGAGAGAGAGAGAGAGAGAGAGAGAGGAGGAGGAGGGGGGTGGAGAGGCGGGGGGCGAGGGGGGGCGAGGGGGGGAGGGGGAGGGGGAGAGAGAGAGGATTGAGAGAGAGAGAGACAAAGACAGACAGACAGACAGAGAAACATAAGCTCAGACCTACCACCAGACAGAGAGACAGACAGGTAGACAACCAGAACAGACAGACTTTGGCAACATTCATACCTAAAGTGTATCTCATCTTCTAAATTACTTAAACGAATTTAACCTCATACCCTCTGACATGGTATGCAGTAAGAATCCTGATGAATAAATGTGCTTTCTAGATTTATTGCAATTAATCTTTATCTATTTTCTTACATAACTTTAAATCTCTTCTTTTAATTCATGTTATTCTATTTGTTCTTGTTTTGCGTTCCATTGTCAGTTCAGGGACCTCGCATTTTTCTCCTGCTCTTTGTCCTTCCTTCTTTTCTTCGCTTTCTTTGATTATGTCTTCCTTTTATTTCCTCTTTTCGTCTTCCTATTCGCCTGGTCCTTCATTTTCTTTATGATTCTCTTTCCTTCTTTCCTTATTCCTTTCGTCTCCTACCTCGTACGATTTTCTCTCTAGTTCCTCTTTCGTTCTTTTCTCTCTCTCTCTCTCCCTCTCCCTCTCCCTCTCCCTCCCCTCCCCCTCTCCCTCCCCTCCCCCCCCCCCTCCCCCTCCTCCCTCTTCTCCCTCTTCCCTCTCCCTCTCCCCCCCTCTCCCTCCCCCTCCCCCTCCCCTCCCTCTTCCCTCTCTCTCCCTCTCTCTCCCTCCCCTCTCCCCTCCCCTCCCGCCTCCCTCTCCCCCTCTCCCTCTCCTCTCCCTCTCTCTCTCTCTCTCTATTTTCTTCCGCATATTTCAAAGTCTTCCTTTAACACAAAAAATGGAGTTAGTGGACCATTCCTTTGGTCTCCGGTTGAGTGCGCCGGTGTGTAAGTAATGGGTGTGTTCCTTTAGCTGGGATGGGCTTTCCACTCAACCCACAAACTTTCCTGGAATTATCGGTGGTTCTCTCTCTCTCTCTCTCTCTCTCTCTCCTCTCTATATATATATATATATATATATATATATATTATATATATACATATACATATATATATATATATATATATATATATATATATATATTATTTGCTTATGTACATTTTTTTCCCATTTGTCAGTCTGCTTTGTTCTGCTGTTCATCCTTTTCTCTCTCTCTCTCTCTCTCTCTCTCTCTCTCTCTCTCTCGTCTCTCTCTCCCTCTCTCTCCCTCTCCTCTCTCTCTCTCACTCATCACTCACTCACTCACTTCACTCACTCACTCACTCACTCACTCACTCACTCACTCACTCACTCTCTCTCTCTCTCTCTCTCTCTCTCTCTCTCTCTCTCTTTCCAATACCTGAAGAACCACCATCATCCTTGAATACCGAGTTGCGAAGGCTGCGGTTACGTTGCACATGACATAGGATAACTACTTCTGCTGCCGTTGAAATTCCCTGAAATCCCGTTAAATATCTATCCCTAGATGTTCCAATTTTATCATTTCCAAATCCTCTTTTATTTCTCTAAACGCAGATCCGTCAGTCAAATTGTGCTTTGAAGTTGTGTATATGTATGAGTCATCAATAGCTGTTAATATGCGACTACTTATGAGCACGGAAATTTCAGAAACGAATTCGGAAATTGCCTCATGGAAGAAATGTTGCGATATTAAACATCATTTTTATATTATTATCATTATAACAAAAATGAGGATAAAAAAAGGAAAGTCCACTCACCTCCACACTGTATAAGACCTGACACTACGATCCAGAAGAAGGTGTAAACATTCATCTTGGAAGGAGGCGCTGGAGGAAAGCTCAAATTAGAACGCGCGCTATTTTCACCACTACTGATTTCCTCGCGTCGACCACGGGACCACAAGCCATCGCCACAACACCTCGCCGTCACATCTCACATATAAACACAGTCAACGATATATCGCCGATGTATACCTTCCATAAAAGCGACAGCAGACACAAAGCACTCACTGAGACTCCTTCACACGCTTTCGTGGCACTACCTGGAGTTGTGTCACTGGGCCATGCTTAGTCACAGCTCCTCGGTTAGCTACGGTCTCCATGGAGCTCTGCCATTGTGGGCTAATTTCGTGATATATCTTTGTATGTAGTATGACGCACCGATGAAATGATTAATATTTAGCTGTTTTACACTCCGCAAAACCCTACAACAATCACACTAGGCGAAAACACGCGCACAGACCTAGGCTACCACAACTAAGAACTCTCTCAAGGTTCTCCACACTCCATATCCGCCTTCAGTGTTGACATTCGCGGGGTTCATGTTTATCGAAGATCCGAATACGGGAATTTCTTAAAGATTTCCTCATATGTAGTAATATACACTCTTTTGTCTTAGACAGTAATGCTTGTTTTAAACTTTATCAAAAGACCGGCATTAAAAGAATGAAAACAATAAACGCTATGATTATAATTCTAACGGTATCTGGTATCTCACCCAAACATCTCAACCAATGAGAAAGCGCGTTACAAGTCGGCCGGCGAATGGGAAGCTAGCTCTTACAGCGTCACGGGAGAAGAGAAACGTCACCTCAGGCGACGAAACTGAACGAACCAATATGAAAAAGAACCATACCTAGTGACATCTGCTTTTGTACATAAACTCGCTTTCACTTTCTTCATATCGAAAGCACAAACAATGCATGTGTGAAGCAAACCCAAATAAGGACAGATCATATGTGATATCAATCTAATCTCTATCAGAAATTAAAAGAAAATCTTTACAAAACAAAACAAAAAACGATCGCATGTGGACTTTCTTACGTAGACAAACGAGTGGCAACAACTATGACGTCAGAGGGAGGGCCTGGAAATCCATTCAGAATCCTTATGCCTTTTACCTGCCTTTACGGATGTCCTACGACCTGCCACAAGGGTCCCTCACCACACAGAGTACCTTGGTGTTGTGTCTAGACGTCAATACTAGTATTTCTCTACACTAACGTACCGGTAATAAGTCATAACTGTGAGTGCATAATATTCTTTATTTTACAGTGCTTTAACAGTGATATATTTTACCTTGGAGTAAATTTTTTTTCTTTTTATTTTAGTTCCTTTGCTTTAGCGTATCTCTCCATTCCTGTTTCTTAGAAGGCGAACACTGAAGGGTTTTAACTATGTTATCTTGAATCCTGAAACAAATCTTATAATCATGTAAATGAACTCTTTGATCACAATTGGTATCATTTTGCGATTATTCTTGCAGTTTTTTTTTTTTAGTGTAGTTGTTTCTCTTGTTTTTGTGACTGTTTATACTATAATGACAATAACAATAATGACGATAATAATGAAATTTTTAATCTGCGTAATCAAATATTCAAGATATTTTTCTTGTACGATTTTACTTTTTTTTATTATCACTGTTATTGTTTTTCCAAATCAGCTGTTTCCATTTCACCTTCACTGTCAGGATAACCTTTGAAAATGTTATTATTAATTGCGCTCTTGCTTTTATTATAACGATGATGACCTTTATTAGCAGGAAAAGGGGCATCATCACACAGATTTATTTAATTAAGATTTCTACGGAATAACTTGATTGGTGTTCTCCTTAGAAATACCATTATTGATACCATTGTTCATCGTTTAACTACTTTCTGTTCATTGTTATTACTGAAGGTGTTGTTATGATAATACTGAAAATAATGATAAATATGATAATGTTAATAAAGATTCTATGATAATTATGATAATAATAATGATAATAAAAATAATGAATATGATGATAGTGACAATAATGATGGTGATGATAATAATGATAATAAAAAATGATAATGGTAATGATAACAATAATGATTAAAATGATAATAATAATAGTGATAAAAATAACATTGATCATACTGATAATGATGATGATAATAATGACGATAGTAATGACGATAATGATAATGTGGATTATTATCAATATCGTTTTATCATAATCATTTATTATCGTTGTTATTCCTATCATCATTATTACCATTGTCATTATTGTTATGATTATTACTTCCATTATTATCATTAGTAATAGTAGTTATTGACATCATCATTCAATGTCATTATTATCATCACCATCATCTTAATCATTATCATTATCATTATAATTATCATCGCCATAATCACTATCCTTATTACTGCAAAGATCATTACTATCATTATCATCATTTCTCCAGTGTCATCTTTGGTATTATCATTGTCATTATTACTATCAATATCATAA